TAGCTCACAGCAACCTCAAACTCTTGGGCTTAAGCAACTCTCTTACCTCAGCCTCCCAAGTAGCTGGGACTACAGGCACCTGTCACAACACCAGGCTATTTTTTGGTTGTAGTTGTCATTGTTGTTTAGCTGGCCTGGGCCAGGCTTGAACCTGTCAGCCTCGGTGTATGTGGCTGGCATCCTACTCATTGAGCTACAGGCGCTGAGCCAGCAAGTCACTTTTTAAACTGGTCATGCTGTCCCAGCCTCAACCACCCAGGGCCATGGCTGTCTGTGTCTAGGTTCCTTCCTCACCAGACCAGGGGACAGACCTGGTTTGACTCATTGCTGGGTCCCTGGCATCACCCTCCCAGAACAGGTTATAACTGTTTTCTGGACGTCCCTCCCGCAGGCCCCTCTCTATCTCTCACTAGTTCCTGCCCCATCCTGCTTCCTCCCTGCCATTTAACAAACCTTTCCTGAGGCTTTGGTATGAGCTGCTCCCTCTGCCTGGAATGCTGCTCCCCAGCTGTCCACCTGGTGACCCCTGCTCCTCATTTGAGACCTGCCACAGGCTCCATCTCCACCACCAAGATACCCCAGCTCCAGTCAGAGGTCTCTCCCCAGCTCCCCTTGCCCCAGCACAGGACATGAGGGTCAGTAGATGACTGTGGGGCAAGGTCCTGATGTCCTTTCCCTAAGTCCCTGCCTCTACCCCTCTCCCACCTGAGTGACCCTTTCCTTCCCTGCTGGTGAACTCCTGTACCTCTCTAAGGTCCAGCTCACATGTCGCCCCTCTGTGAAGTCCTCTCTGACTCCCCCAGAGGGAGTTTCTGGTCTGAGGTCCCCAACCCCTGGACCATCCTCCACTGCACCCTGGTCACCCTGGGTAGTGTTCTGTGTCTGGAGGTTCCTTGAAAGCAGGACCTGGGTCTGACTCATCTTTGTGACACTAACAATGTCAAGGATAAGTCAGCCTTTGGAGATACTTTCCAAATGGCTGTAAAACACAGGAAACATCTCCACCCTCTAGCCAAAGCGCCCCCACCCTTCTCCTCCCAACTCTGACTTCACACCATCTACCCTCCAGGGTCTTCAATGGCCACTATGACTTCACACAGTTGGACTGTGACAGGCAATGAGATTGTTACCCATGGCTACCAGATCTTTCATGTCCACCGTGACTTCCAGGACCACAAGCTCTTTAGCTCCCACCATGCCCTCTCCACCTAAAAGATCCTCGAAGCCCAGCATGCCTCTGGCATCCACTGGACCCTCCATGCCCCCTGTGGCTCCCACATCTCCTCCATCCTTGAAGACCACCAAATCATCAACGCCTAACAGGTCGTCAGTACCTACCAAGACATCAACATCCCCTACCTCAGTCATGAGCCCAAGCAGTTCCAAGTCCATCAAATCACCAAGTACTAAAAGAGCCCTTTCTAGCCATCACAGCAATAGGTCCCGAATCCACAGCAAGGTGAGGACACCCAGCAGGGTGAGCACCGACACCAGGGCGAGTACTGACACCAGGGCCAGCAAAGCCAACAAGGCCAGTAGTATGAGACGCCACCGACGGAGAGGTACACGTAGCCGGGGCAGAACACCCGGTAGAAGGGGAAACCAAAGTTCCAAGAGGTCACCCAGCAGAGCCAGCACTCCCAGTGGGATAAGAACTCCTGGTGCCAGACCAGGCATTGCCAGCAGGGTGAGAACTCCTACTTCCCAGCAAAAACTGGCACGGGAGAAGAGTTATAGCCGTTCTAGAACCATCAACAGGGAAAGGAGTGACAGCCTGCCTAGAAATCTGCGCAGAGAGAAGAGTGACAGCCCACCAGGAGCCTCAGGTATGGAGAGGAGTTCCAGACTGGCTGTAATCCCCAGTAGGGCAAAAAGTTACAGCCCAACTACAATTTCCTCTAAAGCAAAGCAGTACAGCCAGTCTCCATCATCATCAAGGAGGGTGAAGAGTTACAGTGAGGTGACTACCTCTAGTAGAGAACAGAGTTACAGCCCAGTGCCCAGCAGGGTCAAGAGATACAATCAGGTTAGCACCCCACACAGGACCCGAAGTCACAGCTCTTCTAGCACCCCCAGTAGGACCCGAAGTCACAGTAGGTCTAGCACCCCCAGCAGGACCCGAAGTCACAGCCAGTTTAGAACCCCTAGAAGGGCAAGAAGTCCCAGTCGGAAGAGGACCCACAGCAGGGTGAGAAGTTACAGTTGGAAAAGAAATCATGTTAGGGCAAGAAGTCACATCCTAAAGGGAACTCCTAGTGAGATGAGAAGACACAGCCATGCTGGAACTTGCAACAAGGGGAAAAGTCAAAGCCAATCTAGAATCCCCAGAAGGGAAAGAAGTCACAACTGGTCTAGAACCCCAAGTGAGGAAAGATGTCACAGCCTGTATAGAAGTCTCAATAAGGACAGAGATCACAGTCTGTCTAGATCTAGAACCTCCAGCAAGCAGAGGGACTACAGCCATTCTAGAACTCCCAGTAAGGAGAGGGACTACAGCCGTTCTAGAACTCCCAGCAAGGAGAGGAACTACAGCTATTCTAGAACTCCCAGCAAGGAGAGGAACTACAGCTATTCTAGAACTCCCAGCAAGGAGAGGGACTATAGCCGATCTAGAACCCCCAGCAAGGAGAGGGACTATAGCAGATCTAGAAGCCCCAGCAAGGAGAGAGCACACAGTAGATGTAGAACCCCCAGCAAGGAGCGATATTATAGCCAAGCTAGAAACTCCAGCAAGAAGAGAGTGTGTGGTCGATCTAGAACCCCCAGAAAGGAGAAAACTCACAGTCCATCTAGAACCCCCAGCAAGGAGATATGCCATAGTCGATCTAGAACCTTTAGTAAGAAGAGGGCTTGTGGTCGCTCTAGAACCCCCAGTAAGGAGAAGACTCATAACCAATCTAGAACACCCAGCAAAGTGAGAGATCCCAGTCAACCTAGAATCCACAGAAGTTCCAGTGGGAAGGAATCCCCTAGCAGGACAAAGAGTCCCAGTCCGAAGAAAACCTCTAGCAAGACAAGGAGCCCTTCCCCATCTCAATCTAGAATCCACAGCAGTTCCAGTGGGAAGGAATCCTCTAGTAGGACAAGGAGTCCCAGTCCGAAGAAAATCTCTAGCAAGACTAGGAGCCCTTCCTCATCTCAACCTAGAATCCACAGCAGTTCCAGTGGGAAGGAATCCCCTAGCAGGACAAGGAGTCCCAGTCCGAAGAAAAC